GGGTTTTTTTTTTTTTTCTCCCCAGTCCGGCTCTTGGTGGGGGCTGTCCTTTCGGTGAGTTAACCTGCAAGCTTGGTGATGAGAAGGCCTTGCCGTGTTTGTTTCTCAACGGGCTCTGGCGATACCTTGAACCTGCTGCAGCTGCCCAGAGGGCCAGGGAGAGGACCCAGGACTCAGGAGAGGGAGGGATGAGTGATCACAGCAGCTGCTGAAGGTGGTGGGGGTGCTGTAGGGACAGATCCTCTGCCTCTCGTCTCCTAGGGTCCCAGGCTTCCCCCTTCCTCCTGCCCCTTTCTGGGTCTGTCTCCTCAGAGCAGGGGAAGCCTCATTCATTCATTCATTCATTCATTCATCTATTCAGCAATGAATTTCTTAGCCACCTAACATATGCTGAGCGCTTTACAAGTTTAACCTCCACAATAATCCAGTGTCTCCATTTGGATTCCTCCAGAAGCCTACTCTGAGACTAGCCGCATTGGCTGCCCCATTCTCTCATTAATAGGGCTGGGATGACAGAGAGCTGTGGGGCTGGAGGGACAGCCCTGTAACCTGGGCAGGAGGAGGGGCAGGTGCCTCAGTGGATGCTGGGAGCCCAGGCCCAGCTGTGCTAACTTTGCACCCAGGGTGGGCCATCAGCCACCAGTAGAGGATCCCAATTTAATCACATGTCAGTGTCCCCATTCATCTTCGGCTCTATCTGAGGACTCATCTTTTTCCACCCTGTGGTATCATGGTGATTGATGATCCTGCACCAGCCCTGCCGCTGGGTTAGCACAGCTCACAGTGGGTACCCAGCTTCTCCGGGTGCTTTGCAGTTGGGGCTGGCTTGGGCTGGGATCGTATTTCTTTTAAGGAGCCCTGTTATGGACTGAATTATGTCCTCCCCCGCCAACTGTCTGTTTTTTATATGTTGGAACCCTAACCCCCACCTTGACTGTTTTTGGAAATACGGCTTTTAAGGAGGTAATTAAGGTTAGTTGAGGTCAGAGGGTGGGCCCCAAAATCATAAGACTGGTGTCCTTATATGAAGAAGAGATGCCACACCGAGGAAAGGTCATGTGAAGGCACAATTAAAAGGCAGCTAGCCACAAGCCAGGAAGATAGTTCTCCCCAGAAACCAGATTTTCTGGCACCTTGACCTTGGACTTCTAGCCTGCGGAGCTGTGAGAAAATAAATGTCTGTTGTTGAAGCCCCTTAGCCTGTGGTGTTTTTGTTATGCAGCCTGAGCAGACTGAGACAAGCTTCCAGCTTCTTGGAGGAAGGAGGATGGGGTTTGGAAAGATGCCTTCAGGCGGGAGTGTTTTCCTGGGCAAAGACGGAAATGACCCCTGAGCAGAGGAAGCATCTCACTTGGCATTCCCGTGAGTGCCTCTCTGGGAGAGGCAGTGTTTAGTGGTGGCCAGACGGGGGCCAGAGGGCAGCCCTGAGCTCCAGTCTCCCCATGTGAGGCTGCGGATAACTTGCCCAGCCTCTCCGTGCACCTAGAGGTTCAACTTGCTGCTCCTACGTCACCACAGAGGATGGAAGGATGACACAACCGAATCTGCAGCCACTCCGCAATGACATTCGGTGCCCAGCACTGGACTAGGCCGGGGCCACAGTAGTAAACAAGACAAGGAAGGTCTCAACTCTCGTGGAACTCA